CTCCAATGCTGGCTGTATCCCTGAACACACAGAGATCTTATGGGATTAAAGGCGTGTGCCACCACCGCCACACTCTTGCTATGGCTCTAATAGCTCTGACTCCCAGACAACTTTATTTATTAACATACAATCAAAATAATAATTCAGTACAATTAGATTATCACCACAGGAGACACTTTGTAATAAATCATAACATACATAATAAGTCTGCCTAGGTCCACAGACCCTTGCCCTCACCTATCGCTTGTATACAAGGTGTTTGCCGTTTGGACTGTAGGTTGACACCTGACCTAAGGACAACCGGTTTGTAGGGTGGCAAAAAGCCTTCAGGAAAGATTCTGATCAATGAGTGTGACATGATCACTCTGGCAAACAGACTTCCGCTGGAATTTGATCTGATATCTATGGAGAGATTGAACCATCTAGATAGAGGGCTAGGGAGGGCAGAGTGGAGGGGAGTAGGCAGGGAAAGGAGATGCCATACATGTGGTGATATGCACCTGAACGCCGAACTCTTATTACTTGAGGTAGCCTAATTTACTTCTGTCCTTGGCAACCTGAATAGCACAATCGGCCCAGCATTATGCTAGGCCACCACCACTTCAGCCTGTTAATGATTAAGCCGTCTAGGGAGTGTGGATTAAGAACAATTAGAAATGGGAAAATAGCTTTCAGCCTTCATCTTTCCCTTCATCTGCCAGCTACTGCACTGGAATGAGCTGACTGAGTCCTGTTGGCCAGGTGGGGGTGACTGAAGCTCTGTGAAAGGGATTCTTCTATTTTTTTTCTTGCTTTATTTATTCACGTGTTAGTCAACTTTATTATATGTCCCTAGAGCTGTTTTTATCCCCTAACTTCCCTTACGCTATGCTTGGCATCTTGTTCTGCTTCCAGTGGGGGTAGCCCCAGGAAAAGAATGTAGCTGTCAAGTATGTAGCAAGACACATATTTTCTTGGTGCATATCTCTTTCTTTCTGTTGGATTATGCTAATGGATCCCCGGAGTCTGCAGCAGGCTGAGGTAGGAGCTAGGCTAAATGAACTTGGCAGACCTTTTTCAGATTAGTCATGCTAAGGAAAGGCTTCCAGATAGTCACTCTCCAGCAACTCACTATAAAATATATACAATCCTGGATACTTTCTCCTCTGCCTTCATGGTTCACTAGAGGCCGAATTTGTTGGTTTTCAGATGGGTAATCAACTAACTTGGTCAGGAATTCCATAGAATACACCCATTGTAATTTGTGTTCTAGGATGCATTAAAATCTGCAGTGTGGGGGTGCATTGTTATAATGATATACACTGGTCAGGGTGGCCTGCTTAGACGAGGCATGCATAAAGCTGTATCATTTGAAATGGGTCCTGATCTGAATGTATCACTCTGTTGCCCGAGTACCTTGGAGAGCATGGGCTAGGACTCAGTGGCTACCTTCATAGGTGCCTATGGGTAGGATACCGTTTAATTGTATGGAGTAGATTAACCAAATAAATGCTTAGCTGTAGGGACTAGAGTAACCAAATAAATGCTCCATTGGCACTAAATGTGGAGATAGAGACCTTTCTGTTTGCCTTTCTATGAAGGCACTGGCTTAGGTGTTCTGCCTTGAAAGGATTCAGGCCCAGAATGTGGAGTAACAGGGGAAAATAATCTAGCATTCCAAGTTCATTCTTATCTTAGGTACCTTCAGCAGGTACCTTGGTATATAATTAAGAAGGACTGGCTTGAGCCTGGGAATCTTGGTGTGATTCCCACAGGAACGTGCTCAAGACAAGTATGCCAAGATTTCTGAAAATGGAAAGGGGGAACTGACCTTGTCATTTTCTAGGTTCATTGGGTAGTGAATTCTAGCAACCTAAACCTTCCCATGAGGCTGCAATATTAGCAGAGCAGTAGCTGGGTCAGGAGAACGTCATTTATTTAGGCATTTAAAATATTAACATGTCTGCTAAGAGTCACACATGTAACATGGAATGGGAGGTGTGAGGGAAAGAACTCACGTGGGTTGAAGCCTGAGTAACCTCAGGAAACCCAGAGGTGATAGAAATGGCTAGTTATAGAAGGCAAATAGTGGCAGATAGCACAGTGATATTCACAGAGGCAATGTGGTTTATTTGTCATTGCTATTTCCCATTTGGCTATGGGAACATTTCATACACTTACATAGTTCATGCCCCACACTAAATGCTGAAACAGCAAGGCCGTTTAACCTAAACCAAATACAGACCTCCCATCGAACATCACCCACATGTTTTAGTTACTTTTTCATTACTCTGAAGATGCACCGTGATCAAGGAATCTTGTAGATGAAAGAGTTTATTGGGGTCTCACAGTTTCAAAGGGTTAGAGTCTGTGACCATCATTGTGGGGAGCATGGCAGCAGACGGGCAGGCATGGGAGGAGACCAGTAGCTGAGGGCTCACATCGTCGTGATCCACAAGCACAGGGTGGAGAGAACTCACTGGGAAGACATGGAATTCTGAGCCCTCCAAGTGTGCCCCCAGTGACACATCTCCTAATCCTTCCCAAATAGTTTCACCAACTGCAGACCAAGTACCCAAACATGCGAGCCTATGGGAACCATTTTCATTCAAACAACCACACCATGTATACAACATCATGGTTGCATCTTGAAAGTCCTCAGAGGAGCCCCCATGGTATTGGACTAGGCCCCCAGGCAGTGGGAATGGGACCCATCCCTAGTACATGAGCTGGCTTTTTGGAGCCCAGTGCCTATGGTGGAACACTTTGCAAAGCCTTGGTGCAGGGAGGAGGGGCTTGGATGGACCTGCCTCAACTGAGTGTACCAGGCTCTGCTGACTTCCCATGGGAGACCTTGGATTGGAGGACTTGGGAATGAGGGGTGGGTTGGGGGAGGAGGGCTAAGGAGTGGGAGAAGGGAGGATAGGGGAATCTGTGGTTGGTATGTAAAATGGATAGAAAATCTCTTAATTAAAAAAAAAAAAGAAAGTCCTCAGAGAATAGCACCAATGCATGTATAGGACCCACAGTTTTCTCAGGTAAGGAGGAGTCTCCTTTAGAATCTTGCTAGAGCCTTCAGCTGATAGGCAACAGAGCTCTTTGCTCCTAGAGGCAAGGCTCATGATGCCCACATCAACCTCGACACCCACAGGCTCTGATTTGGACTAAGAGAGAGCAAGCACACAATCCATGGATTAAATAAAATGCCAGTGAACAGTAAAGATTAGGCAAAATTGCAAGAGATTCCACAGGCTAGAATGATGAGTGGATTGGATAATATGATGGAAAGTTTCCCTTAAAATTTTGCCTTTCCTCCATTAAACCTGGTCACAAAATGTTTAAATAACATAAAACAAAAAGCAATATCCTAACTTCTCATTCCTCCTGTATTTTATTTCTTTCTTCAGAGGCAACCACTGGTGATTTATTCACACCCAAATGTGTGTATGTATTCAAGTATTCAGGTTTTTAAAAATGTAAGTGGTAGGATACTGCATACGTAGTCATACTTAGCAGTTTGCCTAAGTGCAAACAGTCTATAAGTTGTAGTAGTATT